GTGGGAGTCAGGGAAGGATTGGACTGGGAAGAGGCCACGTGAGAGGGGGTGGGGGGCAGTACTGGAACTATTCCACGTTCTGACTGTGCTGTGCTTATATAATTGAATGTATTTATTGAAATTTGTAGAGTTGAGCACCCAAAATACTAAATTTTAGTATATATAAATAAAAATAAACCCATAAAAAGCTCATTTTGGCTGTTATTCAGAAGTGCCAAAGAGCACTAGTAGGCAGGCAAATTAGGAAGTTATTGAAATAGTTTAGGCAAACTCTGATGGCAGCCTGGAACAGGGCCTTGTACACCCCAGGGCACCTGTTCCTCCATTGTTCACTTAATAAAAGGACAACATTCACTCTTTGAATTGAAGGAGTAAAGTTCTTTATATAGCCATTCACATCTACAATGAAATAAATTAATTTTTTTCTTCTATGACCTAAATGTTCTGTTGCCAGGTGAGCACCACCATCAGCTTTTCTGAAATCAACATTGACAAAGGGCCCCGAGAAACTCTGCATCTTCCCTGTCCTCTGCCAACATGATTAATAGCCCTGTTGGAGAAGAATTGCAGGTCTCTTAGATTTGCACCCACTCGCTTGAAGCAACATCTTTGAGGTTCATTGGGCTGAGCAAAGTTCATACAACCCAGGCAGGCCCCCTTGGAGAAATCCTAACAAAAGTGGTCATAAGTTCAGCCTTTGTTTTCCTGCATTTTAATGTAGGTACAATTCAATAAATCAAATGATGCATTAATGAGAAAAATCCCATTTATGCCAAAAAAACCCATGTCATTCTCCTAAAAAGGCCTTCCTTCCTTTCAATTACTTTGCATGGCACTGGTAATTAAAACTTACTTAAAGAGTTCTCAGCAAGTGCTAGTCTTAATGAAATGACTGAAGTCAAAATTTTAAGTAGTGCTTTATAAAGCTCAATTTAGATTTCAAGTAATTTTTTGAAAACCAGTTTCCCAGATTAGAGCAACCACTTGATTATCTTTCCCTCCTCCTAGCAATTAAGAGAACAAATGAAGCAATGGCTAGTTTAATGATAATCCTGAGGGTTCTTGTAATCACTAATTTTAAAGGTGAAGTGGTAGGGAGAGTATCCAAATGAATAATCATTAAATGTAGAAGTTTGGGAAAAAAGGGTTTCAGAAATATCCCCTTCCCCAAGCTATTATACAAAGAAGTATCTTAAAATAATGCAGGAGACTAGGCATAAATTTCTGCAGAAATTTAAGCACCTCCTATGTGTCCAATCTAGAGGCTAATTGCAGCTGTGTCCTTAGAGAGCCAAGCCTTGTCTTCCAATTATTGTAACTGTTTCTCCTCAGAAAAGCTTGCTTGAGGCAGCAAAGAGCCCCACCACTGGCGTAGGTCCTCTCCCTGTCCTACCAATCCCCCACTTCTGTTGATCTCCAAATCCTATGACTTCTACCTCCTGACAGGTCTTTGAATCTATGTTCTACAATCTACTGATTTCAGCTGCAGTCCTCTCCCAACTAGGCAATGCAGTTGTCTCCTAACTGATCTTTTCATTTTTTCCCCCCTCTTCTTCCAATCATTCTTCCTATGGAAGCCGGAGCAGCCTTTAAAAGCAATTCCACATCTGACCACTTTTTTTTTTTTTTTTTTTTTTTATAGACAAGAGTCTCACTCTGTTGCCCTTGGGAGAGTGCAAATCTGACCACTTAAAACTTTTCAGTGGATTCTATTGATGTTTGGGTCAATACCCAAACTTCTTAGAATATGGCAGAGACAATGGCATTCATCCAGTATTACATGTGTTCCCTTATACTTCTCAGCTGACTTAAAGCCAGGTGGGGCTATGTGACTGGTTCAGGCCAATGGGCTGAGTGGAAGTGACAAGTGTCACTTCTGAGCTGAGGCATTTATTTGCTGATACTCAACTCACTCTTTTTTTTTTTTTTCTTTTAAAGACAGAATCTCACTCTGTCCTCTAGGTAGAATGTTGTGGCATCGCAGTTCACAGCAACCTCAAACTCTTGGGC